GTCAGTTTAAGAGCTCTAAACTGAACTGACTGATAAGACGAGAGCTCTAAACTGACACTGAACTGACTGCCAAGCAATCAGTCAGTCAGTCAGTCTCATCAGTTTGGATTGATTGTTAGCAACTCTGTTCTCACGACAGCTCCCTGATACACGCGGTCTAAGCCAGAACGCGTACTCACGTGCCTATGTCCTCAATGATAAGCGACTGTATGGTCTGTGAGTCGCGCTTTCTTGCAGATTTCATCTATTCAACGAATCAATCTCGATTCAACTACCAGAGCTCTGATATCAAGACCAATCAATCGACTTCGCTGACTGCGCACAAAGCATCATGGACCCGTACCTTGGTATGTTATATCGCAATGTTCTCTCTCGGGCATCTCTGGGTCCAACAGTACTGACTATAAAAGTTCCAACCATTTCCCAAGGTTTCTACTACCAGTCAGCGCCCAGTGAGATAACTCGCGATGAGCTCCGCGCTACAGCAAGTACCCGCATACCAATCGTACGGAAGGTCATCGAGGACTTTTGCAACGCGAGTGAGCGCCTAGAACAGATCGGTGCAATGATACCCACATCGAGCGGTCTGCAGTATTGGGTGAAGGACTCGGTGACGATGGAGTCTATCCTTGTCGCTGAGTGTTACTGGCTCCTACAATTAGTGCCTGGTTATAGGTCGCGCGTTCCTACAGAAGTGCGAGTGGCCTTCGAGGCTCTCACTACGCCTGAGCTCAGGAGCCGAGCTCTACTCCACAGTCTCTCACACTACCTGCAATACATCAACTGGCGACTGATTCAGACCCTCCAGGCGCAAGGCCAAGCACTGCAGATACAAGGAAGTAGTCTCCAACCCTCTTTCAGGGCGCCAACGATAGTACACCAACCAGCGGCTCAGCCCATACGGACCATTGTACTCACCCGAGTAGGTCATGTCTTTATCCCTCGAGGTCCCCGTACATCTGGCATCCGTCCCGGAGGCGTAAGCGGCACCTATCAATACGAATGGCCCGAGTCTCGTAAGCTGGCTTGGATTTTCATCGCTCCTCGATCTGCGGCCTTACCTTCTCGCGCTCTGTCTGACTCGTATTGCCGCTTCAACAGTGTTGCACTGTGGGATCATGTCGATATCCGTCGTCTTGGGCCGAACATTCAGGTGAACCTGGTGGAAATTGTCGCAGTCAGTTGTTGATCAACCAATCCGTAACATAGTCAAGATGAACTGACAAAAGAGCAGTTCTTTCCTCGAGCAGCCTCATCCTGGAGAGCTCTGTGGAAGCGCTTCGACGCAGCAGGCTGGACTCTCTCCATGCTGCGCATGCTCATTGTAAGTGTTCATGAAATACATGTAAAAGTTCCTTGCTCATCTATACAAAGTACTGGCAGCGATCGCTCGGTACGGTAGACCTACGGGCTCACAGCTTTGGCAGTATGAAGAAGCACCGAAGAGACGCTCAGAACCACCATTGCAGTGCTGCTGGCTTCACACTCGACAGCATTAGCACTGACCGTGTCAGTTCAAATGTCGACTTCAACGATCTTCGCGACTGTTTTCTCGTCAGCTTGGGTGATGGTCTAGCACACTTCCCTCAAGGTGCGGATCAAGGGAGGTTGACCATCGCCGTGCTTCATGCTCGCCGCCACAATCATAATAATGTACGACTATCTCAAGTTGAGCAGTACATTACCCAAGTGGGCTTGGACACGCAGTATAATCTTCCAGGTCCAAGTCTTGTTTCCATCATCCAGGCTGATCAAGCGGCTCGCGATCGTCTCTTCCCAGATCATAACTCTGATCCGGCTCGCAGACATGATCCAAACTACGATCTGATCAGGATGTGGTGGAGAACAGGAGGATATTCCCATGATGTCTAGTAATGACAAGTCAGAGGCACCTGAAGGGACGTAGATAGTCCATGAACACGACTTTAAGAAGCAAATGGTACTTTCTACATTTGTTTCCCCATACAGATGTAGGAAGATTCATCTCTGCAGAAACCATCCTAGGTGTAGACATAGTGCTGTAAGAGAACTCCGACTATCCACTGACTATGTTCAAGGCCTTGCTAGCGGTGTTGCCCTATATCTCAGTGATCAAATTGAATATTGTTCTCCCTCGCGCTCGCTTCCAAAAAGTCCTGATACTCTTTCACCATCACCCTGTGTCTTCTCTGAAAATCTGCATCAGTATATCCGTCCACTAGCTTCCGACTGATGCCCATCCTCGCAATGACAAAATCAAGCTGAGACAACACCAGTGTCGTGTTGCCAATAAGCTGGATTTCGATGAGGGCTTTCGTGAAGGGACCGCTGTCAGGGCCCATGGGAAAGTTGCTCGGATGAACATGAAAGCCACAATCGATGATTGGGTAAAATATCCTGACGTTGTCGAATCCGTTCGCGTCACCAGGTAAGAAAGTGTAATGACTGGTGGTAAAGGTAGTAGGTTTGGTTGTGAACTCTTTTCCTAACTTTGCTCTCGCTTTCTCGAGATACGCGCGACAATCCATGGGTATGACGATATCTAGGCCTTGGAGACGGTACTGATGATTCTTCATGATCATGTCAGCTCTTTCGACTACGAACACTCAAACAGTCCTCGAGACCACTTACAATGAAGTTAGCTTGGAAAGAGCCTTTGATGTCACTGTGATAGAGCCTGTGTTGTATTTCAGGTATGTTAACGTGGTTGGGGAAGAACTGGACCCATTAGACCAGTATAATATACCAGGAGAAGAAGCTTTACCGTCAAGATTTCCTTTGCGGTCAACGGGATAGTGAGGCTGGAAAGATCGAACTGCGAGGGCGTCGCATAGCTCTTTAGTGGATGGATGGGCCTATACGACATGTCTGGTGGTAGCTGCCCAAATTTCGCTATATAGAATAGTTGATGCGCCGTTGACGGCCAGAAAGGCCCTCTAGGCCTCGCTTGGTGTACTTCGACCAGAGTGTTCGCAGTCGAGTTGTTGAACTGTTCCTCGACTTCGCCCTCGATATCTGAACCAGAACCTCTGACGTCCTTTTCATTGGTAGGAAGTTTTGCTGTAGTACGCGAGCGCCTGCGAGACTTTAACAAAGAAGTAGCGCCGCTAGCGGATGGCAGATGTTCTCTACCAGGAGTACTGTCAGCGCCTTTTCGAGCTGCTTGTCTGGGGGCTCTGGATGGAGGGCCGCGTTGGGAACCCGTGGTAGAAGCATTCATTGTTGCAATCGCAAAGATGTTGGCCAAGCTGGGTGTTCTTCGCAAGATTGAGTTGCTCCCATGCAGAGAGTTGGGTTGGTTTGACGAAAGAACAAGAGACTCGAGTGAGCAACACTAGTACTGTGGGTCAAGGGACTGTTGTGCAAGCTAATGTATTTGCTGCCTAATAGTGAAGTCGAAGATTCTCAAGTCAGTGATCTCATACTCCGCACATCCGAGTTGATAAACAACTAGGCCAGGCCCTGTCTTTCTCGGACTGAACACCGACAAATGCCTAACTCCATCAGCTTGCGACGAAATTTGTATCAACGTCATGTGATAGTGGTGTCGGTTGCCGTGACCGCATGGTCCAAAGAAGTTGGTAGTCGAGATCGTGGTACGGAGCCATGTTGCGCGTTCATAAACTGGTCTACACGACGCGACGCTATTTGAATATATAGAATAATAAAAGGCAAAAGGGTATCATTATCGTAGCGGAAGCGATTGCTTTCGCATGATCTCGAAACAGGCGCGCTTGAACTTAAGCGTCCTCAATATGCAAAACTACCGACCGACCATCGCGGTCTCATCGTGGAGACCTCAACTCCGGCTGTGGTTGGAACAACCCATTGGAATTGGCCGCGGTCATCTGTGCAGGGCCGGTGCTCGTACCACTCGTTGCAACAAACTCCGGTAACGCATCATGCTCTCCTGTCGGACTAGACTTTGGGATTGGTGCATGGTGATGCTTTTGTTGGCGGCGACGCCAGAAGAAAAATGCGCCGACCAGAAGCAGCGCGCCGACCACTCCCACGACGATGCCCGCGATAGCGCCTGCCCCGAGACCAGATTTATCATCCGGTTTAGGTGTTGGTACTGCGGAACCTCCCTCGGGGTTGTTGGTAGAAGTTGGCTCCCCGAGCGGGGTGACCCGTCCGTCGCTTGCAGAGGTAGTGGGATAAGCAACGAGGATTCTTTGCGCCCAGACGATACGATATGTCGAATAAATACTGGTGTAGATCGATGTGGAACTGGCATCATAGGCTGAGGTATAGGTACTATAAGTAAGAAGGTCGAATACCGTGTTTCCGCCGCTAGAGCAAGATACGGCAGGAGCGGTACCATCAGTGTAGGAGATAACACTAGTACAACTCGCATAGTCGGTATGCTCTTCATAGCCACTGACAGATGTTGTTAGTATTCGCCGAGGAACTTGTCCGGGCGTACTTACGACGGGCAGCACACTGCAGTGGTTTTGCTGGATAATATAACCTCACTCTTCATCTCCCACTGACCAGGACAGCCTGTCCCAGGAGAGAATAGCAACGTGCCACTACCACCACCGTTATTGTCTGGGAAACATGCACTGTCACGAGTGGCCTGTCCATCGGAACCGCATGACAGGTCGCGCTCCACATAGGCACAGGACGTGACTGGATCGCCATAAGAGTATGACAAGGAAGTTCCAATACTGGTGTAACTGTAAGGCGTGGAAAGGACACATGACGACTTGACAACGTTGTTACAATGGTCTGGCGGAGTGAAAGCAGTCATCAACGGTCCTGCGATCGACGTTGTCGATGCGGAGGACGTGTAGGAAGTTGTAAAAGCTGCGGCCATGGTTGAAAATGGGAGAAATGGGAAGAACGCGTGCCACATCAATCACGACGAGGCCCAGGACGAGCATTTGTAGTATTGGGAAGGATAGGGAGGGAGGATGAGGTCAAAGCGCAGCCTTGCTCCGCCGCCCCCATGCTCCCGGTACGTGGAACCATGCAAGTCTCGCCAGTGGCACTTTCTCTCCAATCAGAAGTTGAAGCTATTCGTGGGTGCTTGCAGGCAGCATGCATTTCGCGGTATGCCTTAAGCCACCTCTTACTTCATTGGCCTTTATAGGGACCTGATTGAGATGTCGATAAGAGCAGGGCGTAAGTCTATTAGCCTAGATCCCGCTCGCTTCCCGTTTCGTACAAAAGAAAATTCGAAAACCTCTGACGGCATGGTGGTTGACCTTCGCGATATCATGGGTCAAAGGAAACACTGCTGAGAAACTTCAGGCGCCACAAATGCTAGGTCTGCCTTCTCTCGCACCTCTGCCTTATGACATTGTGGCATTCGTGCAGACATGCTGCGTGGAGTACGGTGTGGGTGTGATGGTGTTTGGGGGCCAAATTTCCCTTGCTGGCATAACAAACTGGCGGCACAGCTCGCCAATATTGGGTCGTGTTGTCGGCCATGAGGCTGTGTCAACCATGCACTAGCTCTTCTCCACACGCAGACTACAATGCCGTCTTTGATAAGCAGAGATGGAAACATCGGTGTGTTATAGGCAATGCAATGTAGGGGGATGGGGAATTCTTGCGCCTCATACTGTCGCCAAGAAGACGTGACGCGACAGGACGATGGGGCCGAATCGCGTCGCAGAGATTGGTGGCGTCGACGAGAAAGAGGAGGGCCTAACCCCTCGCATTTGCCGGTGAGACTGTGGATCAAAGGTGAAGGGCATTGGATGAAGGCGTGAGGAGCGATGTTTCGCAGCCGCCAAGTCGAGATGAGATGGACGAGGTCGGAGGTATAGCGCAAGGCTAAGAGGCTCAGTCGCGTGGCGGCGAATTGCGGGGAAGGCGGAATTGGCGATGCATCAATTTTGTGGATAAGTAAACAGCAGCTACCTGGATCTGATTGTAGTCGCACATGTTACGAAAGCATATGTTGATTAGTATGCTCCTTCTTCCTGTGTTGATAGCACGATAAGGTCCGACGATTCTCCCGGGCAGTTGCCGAAGAACGCGTGATTTGTGGCTCCGAGATCCTCGGCCCAGAAGCTGCGGTTATGTGCCCCACAACTTATGTTAAGAGCTCCGCCTCCGCATTCTGTCCCTATCTCTTTGAACTTCATCCTTGCCTCTCACAAACTTCAATCTCATCCATCTTTACCTATTCACAATGACAGACCGCCTCAAGTCCATCGTCTCCCACATGACGCCCTCGGCGAGCGGCATCTCGGCCCTGTAAGCTCTTCCTTGACAAAGACGACACGTGAAGGAGAAGGCGCGATAGATAGTCAATGGAGGACTCAGTCGCTGACAGTAAACAACAGCACCACCAAGAACCCCGATGATGTTGTCATCACCCTCGCCCTCCGAACCCCCCTCACCAAGGCGCACAAGGGCGGACTGAAAGACACGACGCTCGATGGCATAATGGTCAAGACACTCAAGCAGGTCGTCGCAAAGTCGAACCTCGATCCCGCCATTGTAGAGGACATCTGCGTCGGCAACGTCTCTGACGCAAAAGCCGCCTACTACATCCGCGCCGCCATGCTCGCCGCTGGCTTCCCCAACACCACAGCCGGATCGTCCCTGAACCGCTTCTGCTCTTCGGGACTCAAGGCAGTACAAGACATTGCCAACCAGATCGCCGTCGGCAGCATCGAGGTTGGTCTGGCCATGGGCGCCGAGAGTATGACAGCAGGTGGCGACAGGCTCGAGAGGCCCTTCGTGGACGAGGTGCTCGAGAACCAGGAGGCATGTGACTGCATGCAGCCCATGGGTCAGACTTCAGAGAACGTCGGCAACGACTTCAACATCTCGCGCGAGCGCCAGGACAAGTTCGCTGCCGAGTCATACCGGAGAGCCGAGGTTGCGCAGAAGGCTGGCTGGTTCGACGATGAGATTGCGCCCATCACAACCCAGCTCAAGGACCCCAAGACTGGCGAGATCAAGACCGTCACCCTGACCAAGGACGAGGGCATCCGATACGGCACCACATTCGAGAGCCTCCAGAAGGTCAAGCCTGCCTTCCTTCCCCACGGCGACAAGTCACACGCTGGAAACTCGTCGCAACTCACAGATGGTGCCGCTGCCATCCTCATGATGAAGCGCTCCACCGCCGAGAAGCTCGGCCAACCCATCCTCGCAAAGTACGTCGGTGCCACCGTCGCCGGTCTCCCACCAAGGATCATGGGTATCGGCCCATCCATCGCCATCCCCAAGCTTCTCTCCAAGTTCAACATCACCCTCGACGACATCGACCTCATCGAGATCAACGAGGCTTTCGCGTCAATGGCCGTGTACTGTCTCGAGACACTCAAGATCGACCACAACAAGCTCAACGTAAGGGGAGGTGCTATTGCGCTGGGTCACCCGCTTGGATGCACTGGCGCCCGACAAATCGTTACTGGTTTGAGCGAGTGCAGGAGGCAAAAGAAGAAGGTGCTGCTCACCAGTATGTGCATTGGTACTGGTATGGGCATGGCCGGTCTTTTCATCAACGAGCAGAACGTTTAAAATGTATTGTATATAGCGTTTTACATGAAATCATTTTATTCTCTTCAATATTCTTCGCCATCTTCCGATCAAAGCCTAGTACTGCACAACATCATGTCCCGTAAGGTTAGGTTTTACCTCCCCTCCCTCCAACCACGTCTTACACTTGGCATACAGGATATCTCTTTCTGGTCCATGCGCATTCAAGTCCATCTTCGGTAGCCTTCCCGCCTTACTCTCCGCCCACGCCAGATACCGGTATCCACTCGGATACTGCTTGGCTTCGTTCTCCGGTATGTCAAACGCCTTGCCAGGAACAACAGGTACCATCTTGTCCTTGTCAAAGAGCAGAGTCATGAAGTTCACCCCCCATCTCCCCTGCCCATTCTTAGACAAGAAGAAAAAGAAGCGGGTGTCAGCTTCATTGTCCATCTCAACGTCATCCAGCATGATACGACACGTAATTGTAACCTTCATCTTGCTAATCGCGCGATCACCCTGGATATCGACCGTCTGCCCACAGATCCTATGCAGGATATAAGGGAAAGGACCATGGGGTGTCTGTTTCTCGAATCCCTCTTTTGAAGAAGCGATAAAGTCGTCAAGACGGCCTTGGGTCCATGATGTTGTAATGTACGCGCCAGGGTGAAACATGGAGGAGTAATTTTGCCATTCGGCTGCGTCGCGGTACATGCCCCATCCTTCGCAGATCTCACGGATCTTCAGTCTTTCGAGCACATCTGTGTCTGTGCCGTTGGCGTTGTTGCGTGTTGCGTTCTTGGGATAGGTATCTAGTGCAGGTTGCACGGTGGTGTATTCGAGGCTTGGATGTGGCATCTTGGCGGCGGATTGGAATGTCAAGATGTGCTCCAAGAACCTTAAGGGTGAATTAAAGTACTCAGTGGATTTTCTATCTGCATACCTAATGAGAGTATCTAAGTATGATACGATGGATGCAGTGGTAACCGTTACGTCATTGCCCGACTGCCGAACATCAGTATCGCAACGATCATCAGTAAATCCAGACAAATGCATTCGAGATGGGTCGGGTGGAGATGTCATCATGTATTCAAATGCTGTGGATGGCAGATCTGCAACTGAACCATGCCACACAAGCCAAGTGAAGCTGGAGTATTGAGCGATGCATGGTCTTGTGGGAATGACTTGCGACGCAGATGGCAGTCTAGTGAGAGACAAGGAGGGGTAAACGAAAGAACTAGATAGTGGCAATATCTCATATGCATAAGAGAATACTCGTTAAACCCTCATAAGATCAGACTCAAAGCCTTCACAGTTCAAGCAAGTCGTGCGACCTTGCTCGGCATCGTGTATCCACGCCAATACTACAGAAGACGGCGCTTGAGTAGAGACATGATGGACTACTATTGTGCCAGGGAGTCTTGTTTGTATTTATGATCTATTTCTTCTACTACACGATCACATACTGTGTGTTCGCTGTCTAGGTGAGAGTAATGACAGAGTGACATCTAGGTAGAACTCTTAAGCTTGACAGTCTTCTTCTTTGTCGCTGGTTCCTTTGACGCGCTCTCAATTTCGTGACCATCTGTGTCATGCGGTGTCTCAGCACACTTTCGCTTCCTGTTCTTCGGTATGGGCGTCCCTGGAAGCGGGCGATTCATGAAGGCTGCACCTGCTGCTCCGAAGATAGGGATGTCAAACTTACCAGTCGCCATGGCTTGCAGCATAGCCTCATAGTCTTGAGTTGGTCGCGGAACAAATTGAAGTGGCGAACCGGAGGATCTTGTAGGAGGTGATCCCGAATGCTGGAGAGGGTTGGTAGACAGAGAAGATTGATATACCCCCGAGGGAGACTGATTGGGCGCCGCAGGTGGGCATGCATCCTCTTCAGAGGCTGCACTAGCAATATCGTGTGACCTGGCCTCCTGCGATGTATCCGATGCTTCATGTGAAGACGGCGGAGTAGGCGTTGTGAGAGTGATAGCAGGAGCGATGGGCTCAGTATGTTCTGCGACAGCGGGAATAGGGTGACGTTCGTAATTTGGAAGACCAGGCGTTTCTCCGTATCCCATAGTTCTCCACATATGCACCATGGCTGCTTCTTCCGTTTCTTGCATGACAAGCTTCTGCGTATTATCCGTCCAGTGTGACTGGTCTTTACTCATATCTAGATAGACTTTGGTTGAGGTTTGGTGTAACACAACCAAAACTTTTCAGCGAGTAGAACGAGCCGCGTATAAGAGAACCAGCTGGACACTTTCACTCGATTGCCAATCACGTTGTGGGCGATTTGGTTTTGCGCCTTCACTATGATTAGTCGTTGAATGTTTCGAGCACGGTTCTAGATCGTCGAAATTCACACACGAATAGAGTGGGAGCATTCCGAAAACATAGGGAACTGCTTGAACATTTGGTGCATGTCCAAGCTTGTTGCGTAGCCCAAGAAATGTCTCATGCACGGCTGCTGGACCTGGGAGGTGCGCGCATTGTCAGGGTTTTTCTTCTTTTAGAAGAGTAGCCGGCCAAAGCAACTTCGTTAGTACCAGATCTATGAGTGAGAGCAATTGTTCGAGGACGATGCTGATGCACGCTGGGTCTATGTTCTGGACGAGTCGCTCGATGCGGAGAGAAAATGCTGCATCGTGGTGGTGCGAGCTTTGCGCCATCACGGACCAGTCGACCCGATGGCTTCCATGCGAGACGGCAGACTGTACAATGTCTCTAATACATGTGATGACTGCATGCTGCGAAAGCAAGGAGATGATGAAAGCCGCCGCAGTGTTCTGAGATGGCTTGCGATGAAACAATGTTGAGGTACGTCCACTGTGCGGCGATCGATGATGCGGCTAGATTTTGACCGGCCAATCAGCAGCGACTTCGCTCAATATGACCCGATCAACGACTTTGGGGGGCCATGTTTCTACCACGTCTTCAGTGAACTCAGTACAACAACCTACCATTCGAGATCAGTTATCGGCTCTCGCCTACTCCAGGCAAAATATGAATTCAATTTCTCTCACTTGAGTCCGGAATGCATAGAGCAACATCTTTGTCTTCGCGACACACACCCCAGCCCCTTCATCTCGGTGTTCAGTGACTTCGGTAGCCGCTCCCATCTCATAGCATGATATATGGTTACGCTAACTAGCATCAGCTGAGGCGCTGCAAGAGGCGTACGACCTCCATGTTCGAGGCCATGACGCTATCCAAGTGGTCCGGATCCAAGCCTCAAATCTTGTCACCACACTTGTAGGCACGCCGGGTGTTCACGGTGCTCTGGTTCCGCTTTGGCACGGTGTAAGGGGTGGCGAAGACCAGTGGCTCTGCATGGCTGATATTGGGCCACTCCTTGATATTGATCCAAGATGCATACGCCCATCAGAATGGCTGGCTTGTGGCTCAATACCCAGGTCTCGATACTCGGCTGCGTGGCCGATTATTGGCGGACGCATTTACTTCGACGAAAGCAGCGATAAGGATCTTGTTGATCTCTTCATGGACGTACGTGGATACGCGCCCGAACATTTCCGCGAACATAACGATTTTCAACGATATAAGTATGACTGGGACGAGGAATGCTTCGTTGAAACTGAGAGTTGGCGTACGTCGAGTGCGTCAATCCAAGAGACGGGTGTGGCAGGCGCAGGGCTGGGGCTTGGGCTTGCCGTATCGCAGTTTGCGCGGCCGACGCCATTTGGGTACGCTGGCTATCTTCGCGGAATGGTTGTGATGGACTGATGTATCCTTCACCTTGTAATAGTATTGTACGATAGTCGAACTTAGAAGTGAGAGAGCACCGTACTGTAGGGGCACTAAGCCCGGACAGGGCAAGCGGTGCATGAAGCACTTACCTGAATCACACTCACCCACTGACAACAACTACATGGCGCACGTCTGCAGGATTTTCAAGAAATAACTCTTTCGCTGAACAATACCGTCTTCAGGACCATTCACCGACATCATGGAAGCTATGTAAGCTCAACCCACATCTTTGAGGCTGCATTGAATGGAACTAACCGTGTTGTAGTACACTACGTAATCAGGCTAAATCACCACTCTTGCGCCTGCCTGGAGAAATTCGCAACAGGATATACGACTACGTCTTCCGCGCGGAATGCATGGTGGTCCTTTCGAGCTTGTCGGCACCGCTAGCTGTACGCAAACATTGCATCTACCTTCTCTACGACAGAGGTGCACGTCCTTATTACCTACCTCTCTTTGCGCTCCTCCAGTCTCAATTGGTGTGTCGACAATACAATGCAGAGACAAGGTTGCTGGTCTTTCATAACAACAAACTTGCCGCGCGCATCTGGGACTTAAGGATTCTGCTCAAGAAGATACCCAAAGATGTGCAAAACGCCATTTCCACTCTTTGCATATATGGGTGTTCCGATGGCGACCTCACTGGTTCTCTCCTTCCTCCCAGTTCCTTGGTACACTTTCGGAGGCTTGAACTCTATGCTCAGATACCTCGGCCATCTGACCCACGTACGTTCTTTGAGCAGTTCACAAGAAAGAACAGAGAGCATATTGATGGGAACCCTGGAATTTTCTTGTTCGATGAGTGGCACCGTATCCTCATTGATGCTAGAAAGATTGGTGGGGAAACTCGTACTCAAATATGAAGGGCGTACGAGACTTCAAAGTCTCAAAATGCGACGATGACGTGCAGGTTTGTCTCTCACAGATGAGGAATACTACAAGCCCAATGGACCCGAGAGCTCAATGTACTGCATCACCCTATGGTATTTGAGAAACCACTACAAACTATTGGACTATCCTTCTATGGCCTTGAATTTCTTCTTTCTGTACGCACCCAGCTTCCTGGTCCAACCGAGGACTAAAACTCCATGTAGCGTGTATCAGAGTATTCGAAATACAAAGTGGAAAATGTGAACCAGTCTTCTCACAGCTTGATTATGGGTTGTTTTGAAACTCATTTGTGTAGCTCAAAAGCGCACCCTTAAAATAACATATGGCATCGTGTTATATTTTGCAATCAGAGTTTGCGTAGAATCAATACGCGTCCGCCTCCAGCATCCTTCCGATATTGGTGTAGATCTTGCTCTACAATTTCGACTTTCTCCTCCTTCTCCAGCCTCTGGACCTCCTTCTCAAAACCCCTCTCAACCCAGAAGCTATCTAGAACAGTCGCAACAACAACCCCGCCGTCCTTAACGACTCTCACGAACTCTTCCAACGGCTCCGGCCCCAAATGGCCATGCGTGAAGGTGCCACAGCATGTCAGTGCATCGAACTTCCCATCTTCAAACTCCAATCGCTTCGTCAGGTCCGTAGTTTTCAGGTCATCGTACACGGCGGTGTTCTTAGCGACTGCTAGCATCCCTTCGCTGATGTCGAGACCCAGGATATTCGTAGCGCCAAGTTCAGAGAGCTCGATGCCAACAAGGCCGGTACCGCATCCTGCATCCGCAATCTTTAGGCCGTTCAAGGGCTTGTCTGGTGAGATGTGGTTCAGCTTCAGGCCTCTGGCTACGGCTTGGGCGACTAGGCGTGGTGCGGTGAAGTCGTGGAGGGTCATGTCTGAGTCGTAAGTCTTTGCCCATTCATCGTATAGTCCTCGTGATTCTTCCGTTGTTTTCGCGGCGAATACGCGATCTAAGAGTGACTTTCGATCTGCTGCCGTCATGTTGCAGGTACGAGCTGGCTCGGAATGTTCCCGTGGAGGCGAATACTGGTGCGGTGACGAATTTTCATATAATCCTTATGGGATTATTAGAGGCGGTTCAACTAGTGTAGAAGCTTTGGTGCTTCGGTCGCGTCGAAGGGATAAGAAAGCTCCAGGCTTCTGTAAGCAGTCCAGACGTAGGTACTGACATGACGTCATACCTGGCAATAATTGGCCCCACGGAACACTGCCATGTCCACATAATGTCATTGTTCCCACAGCGATGGAGCTGCATCTGTAAGTGTCACTTATCATGACCTGTACTAGATGATTAACACGATGACATCGGACCCCGATTCCATGGGCGTGACTGTCACGTTCAAGTCGCTAGCGCAGTCTCGGCCGACAGAGCTCATTGGAGTCATCGCATCAGATACAACTCATGCGGCAGTTGTGACATCCTCGACGTCGATAGACAGCGGATCTGACAAGGAAAATCAGGAGGGTAGTCTCAGCGTATATCGGTCGGCAAGTCATGGTTGCGGCGAGAATCCAACTGGATAAAACGGAGATCGTGGGATGCTTGTGATCCGGAATCGAAACTGATACCTATAGGTGATCATCGCATGCGTATTTGACATCGACTGACTGATAGGCAGATATATGCTCTTGACGAAGAAGTAAAGCGGATAGCAATTCCCCCAAATTGGTTGAAGGATGAGAATCTGCAGGAAGTATGTCGCACTCTTTATCTCTGCTTTCTCTTGGCCTTCAAGGTTACTAACAAACGAGCAGCATCACACTCCATCACACAAGTCAGCACAGTCAACACGAACACCTGGCTAGTCGGCCGACTCTTCAATTGTATATCAACAGTAGACTACACCAAGACCACAAAATTGCCATCCGGTTCACCGAGTACGGCTCAAAGTCGTCTCTCCTGAAAGCACGCATCATAAAAAGTTTAATCATGTCCTACGGGCATAGGCGAGAAGTCGGCAGAGTTACTGAGGTTCCGAGGCTAGTATTGATCCGATGAGCTGGGCTGGTCTCAAGGTCTTGGAGTTTTTATGGACATTGAACAACGGCGGCGTACTGCATACACTACCGAACGCTTCGTGCTAATGCCTCCTCGAGGGGATATTAGAAGGGGGCGAACAGTATGCTAAGCGTTGGTGGTGTTTGTTATTTGTAGTATTTGAAATTGATGTAGGACATGTGGCTAGTGAAGTGTGAATCTTCCCAGCAAAGTCTATATGGTGGCGAGGTTGAAGGCACTTGTAGATTTTATGAGTATGACATTGTTTAAATTATGTAGATGGGTGTGAATGAATCTTCTCATCGCATAATCTGAATCTCGTGTTTTGAGTGATCTTGTCACATCTGTTGTTCTGTGGGGATGAAAGGCTGGACAACGTGCTTCTCTTTCTGCAGTACTCAGCCGTATGAAGACACTACAGTGATAACTGTACCAGGAGGGGACAGATTTCCCCATATGGACTAGATGTTGGATGATCGATGGGAAACAGCTCACTGATGAACTTATGGCTATTGGTGGACGGTGTCTGAGCGAGAGCACTGATTGGTGAGATCTTCTTCGGCAGTTGTTCGGCTATCGAGGAGCACACTTGCCCCTAGAGACTAGGATCGGTGTTCACTGGTTATCTGGGGAAGGAGCCGAGGCATATACAGCAGGAGATCTACAAGTAAGGGTTGCGGACGCAGGGGTTTGTGATGCTAACGCAAACTTCAGGTCGAACCACTTGGCGGACAACTATTGCTGCGACTACCAGCCAATAGCACGATTTACGTATGTAAGGCGTGTCAGTCGCCGATCATCGCAAACACTATCTGGGCAACTAACGGACGATCTAGACCATCGGAGTGTAAGAGATCCGGGGTAGTGTCCGCTAGCGTCGCGCTAAGCCTACATTTTTGTCGAGCTTAAACCGACATTTGCGCTGGACGTCACGTCACTTCCTCATCCTGATCTGATTTACACGGTACCTACCGTCTAAAGCGAAGTTTGTCAGCAGTTCGGACAGATTTTCGCATAAGAGTCTATCCACACCTTGGCAGACAGTTCGTGGGGCTCCAACGAGGCTGCCTGCCAGGTGCTACTCCGGGTATACCAATGATGAGCGCTATTGTTATCGGACAAGAGTTGAGGCAGTTTGCAGGCTCCGGACGAGTGGGCGGTAAGAAAAGACGAGGGTTGGACTGGGGGCGTTTTGTAAACGGCATCCATCACCGCTCAGTTGTATCGTGCGATACCAGATGCAACAAACTGAATCAATTTTCACCAGACGATGCTTCCTCCAGATTCAATTCAAGTGAGGACGACTTCTGCGATCTATGTTAGGAGGAACACCCAGCTATAGGAGACTATCGGACGCCTTCGCAACTTTTCTATACACTTTCCGCATATACACGTTTAGTGATGGTGCTGTTGTAACTGGTGTTTATCTCCGATCATCTCCCAAAAGAACAACGCAGATGCGCAACAACATGTTGCCTGAGACCTTACGCCTACTACATCGGGGTAACTAGGCATATAAGGGGGCTTAGAGAGCACTCTATCATTCCTGGACTTCTTTCGTAGCCAACTCAGGGTCTGACTATACTGCAGATCGCGGAATGGCATCCGTTGTCCTTCAATAGCGCACTGTCGCTCATAGCCTCAGTCTTGGCAGCTATACTGCCTAGCCATGTGAGCCTTGCAGATCGACGCAGGCGATTACTGCTTCGGGACGATCCTACAACTGCCCAAGACAACGCACTATGGTGTCACCGAGACGGTTAGCTACACCCTGACAAAGTAGCCCATGTACTAGTGGAGCAACCACGAGAAGACACAGGAACTTGTTCAGGGCCGAACAGATCGGCTATGAGCAGCTTTATGGGTGATCCTTATCTCCGCACTGGGAAGCTTACACTAATCTGCAGCGGTGGTTGCGAAGACATATAAGATACACGAGGCCTGCTCCAAGACATTCTTCTCAGCATCTCCTCGCCCTTCACTCTTGCGATACACAATGCTTGCAAAGACATCTCTCGTGCTCCTCGGCGGGCCAGCTCTGCTGGTCTCAGCTTTCCCTGAGATAGCTCGCATGGTCGCTGAGAAGCGTATCCAAGAGCGTCAAACGACGCCCCAAATTATCGAATTCCCAGAATACCCAGGCACTCCCAACCACGCCCTCTTCAACCAATTCGACCCCACCCTACAACTCGTCAACACATCTGGCGAGCACGAATGGCGCGCCCCAGGCCCAGGAGACATCCGCGGTCCCTGTGCCGGCCTCAACGCCGCCGCAAATCACGGCTACATTCAGCGCGATGGTGTCGTCGACGCACAGAGCATCAACACCGGTCTATGGCAAGCCTTCGGCCTCGACAAGACAGCCACTATTTTCCTTGAGACTGCGACTGCTTTCTTCAATGGCGACCCCATCTCCGGCCGCTGGAGCATCGGTCCCCATTCCGACAAGACCAGCTCCCTTCCCCCACTCATTGGCGACGCACTCGGCAATGAAACGGGAATCTGCGCATACGGCCATCTCAGAAGTGAGGGCGATGCCAGCATAACTCGCGGTGACTGGTTGGCACCTGAAATGAACTCCAACTGTCGCTCCTACCCGCAATACATGCAGGAGCTTTTCGACCTCGCGAACGCACGTACGGGGGGTAACATTACACCCCGCGTCCTCGCCGAGCACTCCAACAACCGCAAGAAACACAGCATCGCCACGAATCCGTTCTACTTCAGTCCGGCGTACGCTGGTGTTGCGTTTACTTTTGGCGCGCACATGTTCGCGTACGCCTTGCTTGCAAACCACAGCGCCGAAGCACCGCGCGGTTTCTTGACGCAAGACGTATTCATGGATTTCTTCAGTTACAAGCGCGATGCTAGCGGTACACTGACGTACAAGTACGGCTACGAGCGCATCCCAGACAACTGGTACAAGCGCCACCCGCTCGACCCATGGACGCTCGCAGACATTGGCATCTCGACCGCACAACAGTGCGCCGCGTACCCATTGAACTGCCAGGTCGGCGGCAACACAGGCACGGTGAACAGTTTCTCGGGCGTTAACTTGGGTGATATCACCGGCGGGTTCATCAACTTCGCAGAGGATCTGAATGACCCGAAGAAGATGGGTTGCTTTATTGCGCAGGCTGTGCAAGCGGATACCCCTTCTTTCTTGAGCAAGCTTCTTGGAGGAGCTGTCCTGAATGCTGCTTTAGATGCGGTCAACACTCGTCTTGTACCGGCGTTGCAGCCGCTTAAGGATCTGGGCGGTGGCTGTCAGGGCGTGCCGGCGGGCAGGAGTATGTTTGACTATGGAATCAACTTTCCTGGTGCTACTCTTGAAACTGAAGGCCCGAGGTCTGGACTGTAAGATCATTCTTTAGTGTTTGGTATCCGTAGTTGATAGATGAGGGTATCATTTGATGATAATGAAAATTCTTTAGCTTCAGACTGCCTCTTGATTCGTTCTCGTTCATATATCGAGCACTGTTCAATCCCATCAGACTTTTACTAAATCTCTCTGAACGCCCCGGAAGTGTGCTGAAAGTACCAGACTATTGGAACGATCTGAACTACTGCGATCATTAATACGACCAGGATGGGTGAGTTATGAACAGATTGTGGTGTGAATTCGCCTAGCTCGCTATCGCTATCAGCACAACTGGCTTGCAGGTGTGGAAGAGCTTACACTCTGCATAGAACGTGAGACGACGAAGACTGTATGGTACACGGAAGAAAGGACATTAGGTCTTATTGTACAAATGGTATTTGCGAAAAGAGGAAAAGATCCGACAGGGAGACTGAGTTCTCAAAGACGAATGCCAAGTAAGCAGAAGGCCGAGATGGCGATGGTGAGCTGATCAAGCCTTTGTTGCACGCTTCAGCAAGCCTTTAAAGGGTATGCAATCCGTTCAGAGCATAGCCAAGATGGCTGCCACCATCGCCACACCACCGCCAACCTCCATCTTACTGGCGCTACCGGTCAAGTTGCCCATAGCAGCCTGAGCACTGCCTGTGGCCATGACCATACCGTTAGACATAGTCATGCCGCTCTCCATCTGCATACTCATTGACATGGAAGACATTGCCGACTCCATGGCAGAGTTCATGGACGAAGCTTTTGATGCAAGAGCCGATTTATCCGTTGCGCTCGGCTCGTTGTTCCAAGCCATTGTGACGGGAGGCGCCGAGGGAGACATCATCGGGACCATTGATGTAATGGTGGCCGACGAGCTTTGTGCGAGTGCCGCTGGGGCGAAAGCGACCGTGACGCTGATGATGGTAGAGTAACGCATGGTGGGAATATTTGGGGTTCGCGAAAGTGCCTTAGATTTAAGGTGTACAAGAGCGTTGCTGGTGCGAGGTCGTCGGATGCGTTCGTGTCGGTTCGTAAAGAGTGTATTAGGTGAGACCGGCTCGTATAGTGTTTTCTGATGGGTTGTATAGAGCAAGAGCTTTGAAAGGCGAACCGCGAGAGGGCCTTTCGCGTCTAAATACCTTTCCACATCTCACGTACTCGTTCGAAAAGCTTCCGCTGTTTCGCAACCTACTACCTGTCATTGTGTGTAATTCATCTTCTGCGACGGTGTACGCGTCGGGAACTTCAGCCTCCGATCCACTGTGGCGCCGTGCAACACCGTATACAAGCCATATTCTCGTGAAACAAGCGCATGCAAGGGCGATGGTTGTCACGATGGGGTGAGGAAGTTTGGAAGGTGTTCGATGTTCGTTTCGGTCGGAACAATGATCGACGCTAGTCCGTGCCTGCCCGAAACGCCCAGCCTGAGGTTTGCGGGGCCGTGGCACCTCACCTCTTCCTTCTATCATCACTCTCAGCGACACTGATAGCGAAACCATCAGACGACCGTCCTCAGTACCACGCATCTGATCGTACAATCCCATTGATATTTGCTTAGCTAGGAGCTGATGGCACTATTTCCTGGCGCGCATCCGCTGCTATGAACGTGCATGACGTGCGGTCAACATGACACAGCACTATTGTCATCAACCTGACCCCGTCAAACAGCCAGGCTAAAGTCACTCTCGACTTCAATATCGTCGCATTCTTCACCCGCTACTTCTCTTCCTTAGCGAGGAATTCATCCGACTTCCAGCCCCGATCTCCCCGAATCTGAACGATGCACTCCATGTGTTCCGGACTCTCGTTCCAGGCATCAGGGCGGCATGGGTAGCGGAAGAGCGTGTTTTGCGCAAACGCCCACCGCAGATTCTCTGCCCATGCGCTTATGTCTGCTGGATCTGGAAGATCGATGCGATAGAGCTGTCGATATGGTGGGGAACGACGAGGGCCACCAAAAGCATAGGCGCTACGCGGACCACTCTCACCCACTTGACCTCCGCGTGCGAACGCTAAGTCAATTGCTTCGTCGTCTGATTCAGTTGCTACCTTCCAGGGCATGATTGCCTTTCCTGGAGGTGCGACATATGCTGTCGCCAGAAGGTATTGACTAGCCTGGATCATCACATTTTCGTCCTCTCTAGCAATTCTCGCGAACTCTTGCTCTTCTCCAATCCTTACCGTTCTCTCTAGCCTGCCTTTAGTTTTCTTGCTCTCCTGCTGTGTCTTTGGTGCTACTGTCTCGCACATTGATGGAGTTGCTGTTAACAGCGTGTCTGTTCTCTTCCGTTTATTCAATGCTAATATATCTCCTACGATGCCACCCGAGTTCTCCCTACTGCCTTTTTTGTTTCTTCCATCTATTACAAGCAAGGAATTCGTCGACGCGCTCAGTGGTGGTGGACGGCTCACCTCGATCCATCGCCTGAAGGCCTGGCGATCGCTATGTTCGTGTCGAATGGGAGCCGCGCCGCCCACAAGCCGCAACACCGCATCGTAGTCGCGAGGGTAAAACCATGGTTCGTGTGGATTATTGACGCAATATTTGACCATTCGTGTCAAATCCAGCGCGTCATAACCTTGAGGTTCACGTCGCACGTCCACGGCTAGGTTCTTGAAAGGTATGTCACTCGCAGGTGTCTTCTTCGCACCGCCTGGTCCGGATGCTAGATGCCCTGTGACATCCAGGCTGCTCTCGTCCCAGGTCGACTTTCTCCCTTCATGGAAAGTCTCGTGTGCCTTGAACCGCCAGTTCTTATATCCAGCTCTATGCATTGCTTCATAGATGGCTTGACGACAGGTATTTTGATTCCACTCCACCAACAGATCTCGGTGTGTGTTTACTATGGACCACAGAAGATGTGGAGATGCGCCGTTCGTAATCAGGCGGTATACGACATCGCCGCAGTGCACGCTGTTCGGGAGATATGCTAGGAGCTCAACGGCTGTAATGTTTGCGCGCGCTGGAAAGAGGAGGTATCTTGGAGGCGCTCTTGGACCAAGACCGTATCCATAATGTTCGTTGCGTGGTTTTGCTTTCGGTCGTGGCTTAAGTATAGGTGGCCCGGCTGCTGATGCCACTGCGCTACCAATGTGGAGAGTTGTTATAGTCGGGAATGGAAGATGTCCAAGAGACGGCGGTGCAACCGTAAGATATTTGGACGACGTTTTCGACAATGGCGGAGGATCCATCGTTATGAACACATGCACTGCGCATTCGTAAGGGTTAGTCCCCGTGCTGGTTGTGGGAATGTGCACGTGGTAACTAGAGCGTGCCTTGCATTTCTGTTATGGCCATCGTAACATCAACAAAACAGTCACTCCGCCCGGTCCGAGCGTCATTTGGAGCAACTTTCGCTTGTGTTAGCTACACCCCGCTTCGCCGAAGTACCAACTTCCAGGTGTCCTGCAACATTTCTTGGAAACTTGAAGTCCCTAGCTATTGAGCACACCCCCGGATTGATAGTCAGGACACAGCGGCGATCAGTCTGCTTGTCGACTTTTGCCAACACTTGCACACATCCACTTTGAGTAAGGCAGCCTTCACGATTCCTGGGACCCAGACAGCTTCTTCCTACACAAAATCCATTCGTTTGGCTCTTCCGCGTGCTCGCAAATCTTATACTGACTATCGATTCAGTCGACATGGCCTCCATTGCTAAGAACAATGCTTTTGGCATGAACTGCCCAAGCTGGAACCTCCCTTTCCCAGATGGCAACCTGACCGCTGCCGAGATCCTGGCGTACCTCCCGCACTGGCTAAAGTCCATAGATGTTGTCGACCGTTTTGTTGTACATGGCGCGAAAGCTGGCCACCTCGCCGCTATGATCAACGAGTTCAGGGTCCAGCCATTGGGCCAAGAATTTAAGCCAAACTCTGCTATGGTCATGATCAAGTACGCTATGCGACGCGCAGGCTATTTGGACTGGACTTTTGGGTCGCACTTAGAGTATGAGCGCGAGATCCCGAGACCTGAAGACGACCTCAGCGTAACGAACTTCCGTACACCCAACCGTACCCACCCAAAGATTGTCACTACTGCTACACCTAAAAAGGTCAAAGTCAACGAGGACTGTGAGCCGCTGGACTTCAAGGTCCTCGCGCTACATGTGAAAGAACATCCATCTGGCGATGACGCACTCGACCTTACCCGCTGTGTGAAATATGCTATCGAGCATGAAGAGGAAAAGTGGCTCTTTCCCACCGACTTTCAGCGTCTCATTGCTCACCTTGGCGGTCCGGTGTCTGTCACTCTCGCTCACCACGATAGGCAAGTATTTGCGCGTCACGATAACTACGTCTTTTCACCTGTCAAGTCTACACCTAGTAAAGGTCAGACACCAAACAGCAAGATCAGAACCCCGCGCAGCATTAATAGAACCTTCATTCGCGATATCGACTCGGTTGCTGTCTCGATGTCGGCAACACCCAATAAGCGTGCTGTAGATGGTCTGGGAAAGGTGCTGGATGGCAACAAGCGGAGGAGCAGTAGGCTCGTCGGTAGGCAGATCAACTTCACTCAAGAGCCTGAAATAGATGTCGCGGTATGCTTGAACTTCACTTCAGCGATAACGGTGTCTGAAGACGTTGCTGACATTGGTTCCAGGACAAGGACTACTCCGACTCGCCCTACAACACTCCCCCAAAGAAACGGAAGCTGTCCCGTCTGCCGCTCACTCCCAATTCATCCACCGATGATGATGAGTTTGTGCAAGGCGAGTCAGAGCCTGACGAAGATATTCCCGAAGACAACGTGAGTGACGTTGAAGAGGCTGCTTCGCCGGTCCGTACATCTCGCGGTCGCCTTGCTGCGCGTAAGGCTAGATCCAACATCAAAGCTGCTTTCGTACCTGAGCGCCGACCTTTGAAGCTCAAAGTTCCTGGGTAAGTCCCTACTCAGAGTGTTTCTGTTAGCTCGATTACATGTTCTATAGTAGTTAGTCACAAGATATCGCGCTAATGTTGAATTAGTATTGGCCCGTCACCTCAGAAAGCCCAGCGACAGCGGGGGGTGCCGTCATTCATGACCACCCATTACGCCCCGGAAGTAATGGATGCTGCGCGCGAGTATCTCAACCGCGAACCGATCTATCTCACACCTCCTGTCCTCTCTGAAGGCCGCCTTAGGATCGACGACTACAGTATTTACCTTTATTCCTCTCCCCCACACACCTCTATGGAAGCCATGTACGCGTCTGCGTATGACTACGCCCGCTTCAATGGCCCTCGCCGCCACGCCCCATTCCGTGAGCTTCACCTGCTGAGCCAGCCTTACCCGAACGATACAAGTGACTGGGCCGAGAACATTCGTTGGGCTAAGCAGCAGTTCGCTATGTTTGGTAGCATCTGGACGGAGTATGACTATTCCCTTGAGTGTATCACAGCGCATAGGCACGAGATTGGATGGGTTAGTGAGGAGGTTATCAGAGACGGCATGTGATTTGGTTGGTGACCGGCAATACTTAGCAAAAGTCTGCGCCTCGCGCTCCGGTTTTCTCCGAGCTAGATCTCGCTTTATAGCCTGTGCATCGTCGTATTCATGCCAATGTATCTACATTCAGGCACATAATTGAGAACGTAAAAGTGAGAACAATATCTTCTTGCAGCATACCTTTACCGAGAATGCCAGTGTCACTTCACTAGTGCGCTTCGTCGAGGACCAACGTGTGATGTAATGCTGCACCCTCTCCATCATCCGAGTTGCACTACGCATTGTATGACCACGTTTTCGAGTTGCAAGCAGCAGCGAAACCTTAAGAAAATTGCGCATCTTGTATCTGTAAGCACATACGATGGTGCACGAGGCTTAGCATAAACATCCTATCATACCAATTGGGTGCTCAGTCAGACAGCAGCTTGAGCGGAAATCGAAGAGATTGCGGGAACGAAGAGTATCTCCGAAATGTTCTCAGTATTGTAACGAAACGTATAGACCACACAGGACAGAATTTTGCTGATTGTGCCACGTTGTATTGGATGAGATACTGGAATACTGAGTGAAGACATCTTCAGGCCACCTGAAGTCAAAGACAAGGGTATAATGCAAAAGTTGTACAAGACGCCCAACTCCTCCAAGGAGTTTTACCAAAAGCACCATGTCATGCTAGCTGACCTTCCAAACGCTCCGGTCACATCGAAACCCAAGCTCAACAGAACAGATTCTCAAACATTCCAATCTTCCAGGAGATCAGTGTCCATTCGACAGTTTAACGCGGTATGCTCCAACAACGATTGTATAATCAGCCGCGTTCTTCACGAGGCTGCCGAACGGGTTGTGAATCTGAAACGGTTAGAGCTCAAAGTGTCTCTTGTGCGAAAGCGCAACCGACGTCGTCCAATGAATCAAAGTCGGTGTGTTCCGAGCCAACTCGAGGAGACCTCATACCGTGTTCTGGGCCGATATAACCAGTAATCTCATGGCTAGAAGACCTCATCATCTCGATGTCAATCCGGTTAACATCAAAAAGCGTAGTTGGGTGGTCGTAGTGAGTGACATGCCAATTCATCGGAGACGAAGGCCATGATCCATAGCTAGCACCGAGAATCTCATTGTTGAGAGCGCCAGAAGAAGGCACCATAACGGAGGCTTCATTTGAAATGGGTGGTAATGGGCCATGGATACTGCGATTATGCTCGAGATAACGACGCACAACTTCAGAGGTACTTGTCATCTCTTTACTGGTTTCAAAATAAGAAGTTCCGTGAGCGACGAGCCACTTGACGTACAGCATGTTCATGTCGTTCTCATCCATCTCAGACAGGATGCGCACCAAGCCGACGGTGGAATTGTTTATAGGCAGGGCGACTAGAAGAGAGTTGTTGGGCGACTGATTGCCACTGGCGGAGGGAATGTCGAAGCCATGAGGATCTTGAATTGGCATATCCACAGGGTCATGGGCAGCTTCAAGAGCAGACTGCTCAGTAAGAGCATATTTTTGAAGATACTTCTCGGTCGCCGCCTTCTGCGCCGCCGTAAACTTGTAGTAGGTAATTTCCTGGGAAGTATTGGCCTGGTGCTCAGAAGGCGTCTCGACCCAGCTAACCTGCCTCCAGCGGTTAAAGAGTTCGCGATCTCGATGATCAGGGTGCACAGATTGGGGACCGCCTAAGAGCCGCGTGAGGAAGCCATAGTCGCGTGGAAACATTAGGGGCAAGTCCTCGTTAGCGGCAGCTGCCTTGACACATCGAGTCAGATCTAGCTCGTCATCACCAGAGGGAAAGACCACGACATCAACTGCTAGCAACGCAAAACGGACATTGGGAATAGGCGGTCGCTTGTGACGGCCCTCCTTAGTGTTATCCTCGCAGTAATTCTGGACGCCGGCGAATGTCAAGCTCTCGTGGTCCCAAACCTGCTCAGGTTTCTTGTACCGACCAGCCTTGTGGCGAGTCTCGGTCCATTTTTCTTCTTGGAGGTGATCGCGCATGGTCGCTTGAGTGATGTGACGCATGGCGTTGGCAGCCGTCGCGGGAGTGTGGTGATCTTTCACCGTGGCTCGAAACCATGCAGAGATCCTGGCCAAAGTTTGAGCATCAGCGCCGTTCTGAATGAACCGATAAAGGACGCCGGGAGTTCGAAGTAGCTCGGGAAGAAACACCGTAAGCTCCACACCGGTGATGTTGCCGGTTTGTGGAATGCAGAGGTATCTTGTGATTGCGTGCGGACCGAAAATAGAGGAAGGAGACCTGCGGTCTGAGCCGTCTTTGTTCTTCGAAGGGATTTTCTTGGTTGCTGGATGCTTCGGCATGCTGATCTGGGATGTGAGCGTTAGCTCAGCTTATCAAGAGCAAACAGCATCAGTCGACTGAGTGCGCCAATGCTTCTTCAATTTTTCGAGACGACGGAACTTGATACTTACAAATAACAAACCAGCTCCTGGATTTGGTTGTTCGCGAGATCTTACAAACTAAACAGGTGGTCCGAGGACGTTGTCAACCAACTTCGGTTTTTTCGATAATATAAGTCAAGACACGCTTATGGTAGAAGCCGATCTGATGAATATATAAGAAGGGACCTTAGCTTAGAGCTGTACCAGGACAAGACCCGATTCTCACTCGGAGATTGTCCTAGCGTGTCGAAGTGGTCATTCGCTGGATTGCTGCCTTAATCACGCTTACAATCGGAACAGCAAGGCTGGTCCCCTCGAGAAACCGGAATCGGCAATATAGCTGGAGGAACTCGGACCTTAACTGATACCCCACACTTGGAGGTTGTCCACGTGAACGGCAAAAAGGGCTCAAAGACTCAGCTGGATGAAAAGGGCTCTGCCCCTGGCTCGTAACGCCTCTAAAGTTTCTGATTAAAGGCGACAGCAGGAGCCGATGTCGCCAATACAGCCACTCGGTGACGTCGAGAGAATTCCCATATTGCACGCACGGCAACCACGAGATGACTGACGTGTGTTGGTGAATAGCAGAGCGGTTTGTCGGACATCTCTTTCGATGTCTGCCATTGTTGACATATTTACAGGTGACACTGGCTGACAGCGTATCTAGTATGCCTAGGACTGTGAGATTGTGCACCAACTTTAGGTGCCCTCGTAGTATACTAAAGAAGGTTCGAAGGCTTCAAAGTACCATGCACCAACAAAGAAAGAGAGTGATGAATGTTGCGCCTTACAGGACGTCCGAGTCCCGTGACCTCGAACAGAACATAAACATTTGCAGAGACTATGATAGCCAGACAGCGTAGAAAGAGACTAGATAGGATACTTGATATGAGATCAGTTAGAGCGCTCGTTTGCTGCACAAACTCCAACGTCCAGATTATCTGGCCACATGACGGTGGGGAGTGTGCCATTCACCTTGGTCTGAGGCTGAAACTCACCACGACAGATCAAACGTACCCAGCGCATGTCTCCTTGCGTTCGCCCATGCTCGCTCCTAAATACAACGCTTCATCGAGCATGGCTACTTCTCCAAGTCATTGCACTCCTCTTGCGAAGTCGACGAGTTGTGTGGGACCGCTCAGCGATCAGGTCGCCCCACGAAAACGAGATCGCGCTGGCACCTCGCGTGCCACGCACCGCCTTAAAAATCGGCTTCCTGGACTAGAACAACGTCATCACTTCATACATGCGCTTATACCATGGATTTCAGTCTGTCGTCGAAAATCAAACTCAAAGAAATTTCGTTCTTCAAGTCATACACACAAATGATCTATACACCTCTAACTTCGACATCTATCTAGGTTCCTTGTGTCATAGCATCTAAAGGACGGCGGAGCCAACAAGAATTTTTCGAGAATGTCTCTTCTCTACGCTGACGTGTCTGGTTCCTCTCCACGATCTTGCATGATAGCAGAAAATAATGTCTCGAATTCGCTTTCATGGTTCGGTTCTGTTTCCATGACATACGCGAACGGCGCTCCTCCTTCTACTGCTGTCGTATCGCGTATCGGCGCCGCTGTCTCTGCCACAGCCTCCCCGAGCTCGTGCAGCTGGCTTGTGAGCTCGTCCAATTGACTTATACGCTGATCGAGACCTTGCAAGAAAAAATCCAGATTCGCTCTCCTGACATGATTCAATCGGCAATCCGGGTTGGAACAGTCGTGAGCTTCACACATTTTCTTCTGGCGTTGATGTGATGCCTCTCGTCTTTGCTCTTCCGTTTGTGCTTGTACTTTTAGTTCTTCCTCGGTTGGTGGATCGTCCTCAGCTTCTACCAGCGGAAACATTTTCCTCTGCTCGTCAAGTCTAAATCTCCTTAATACCCTTTCAGTACCTTCCAATCTAAACATCTCCATATCTGTGTCTTCTGTGTCTCCATCTCGTTCATCTGTATCATCATCAAACTCCGTCGCCGTGTCTGAAGGAGTAGAGACGTGTGTATCGTAAAAGTCGTCGATTGCAGGATCAATGAAAGACCCTGCTTTTGGTTTATGTCTTGTATCGCTATGTATCTTAGAAGGAGTGTTCCATGGTGGCAGTAGTGACGGTGAACGAGATAGCGAATCTTCAGACGCTGTTTGTGGTGCCGGCCGGACGACAGGCGCTGCGGCCGACGCCTTCCCAACCCACTTAGAACCCAGCAAGGTATCGTGCTTGCGTGGTCGGCGGCGAGGTCTTTTCTCAATCTGTCCAGTAACCTCCGAGGCAGCTGTATTGAGCGCTGTCGAGTGTGCTTGGGCGACTTTCTTATGTTTGTAATAGCCCGCTGGGAGACCATCTTTGCGTGGACGACCGACTGGATTCTTGCTTTTTGGTGCACTTTTAGGCATATCGTATCTTTTCTTTCTTGGATACTTGATGGGATGCGATACCTTGCGGCTTTGTTTGCAGGAGAGGTGTGACGAGGTCTCGTTAAAGATGTAGTCGGAGAAAAGAAAGTGGTAAGTACAGTTGAGCGAGATGTGTCTGTTACTTTGTTACTGTTAATCTTTCCAATTCGCCGTGGTTTTAACAGTTTTACTTCCCCCAGAAATTGGTCCCCTGCCCTCCTACAACACTCTAAGACTGCTGTGGGCAATGAGGCTATCCAAGGTTGACATGTCATGCTACCAAGATCTGCTACTAAAACACTCCAATCGGCGACTGCCAGCCATCGAATCTGTGAAATGTTATTACCATGTTCCATGGGGTTATCGCATCGGTCCTCTCCGATGACTCTGCGGCTGCTGTCCATGTACCGATCGTGGCATCCCCATCCATTTGTCTTTCACGGTAGCGAACGCAAGCCACTCACGACTTCCGTCTTTGAACCGCGACCCACACGGAACCAAACTCTAGAAAGTATGCGATTGGTGAACCCGACTTTAAAGAAACCAGCGCTTGATATCGCGTATTCGGTCTCTTCAATGAAGGGTCTCGAACGGCATATCTTCACAGCCATTCGTTCGTCTCTATCCCGTCGTCGAACGGGGTTCCAGTCTTCTGACGATAGAATGACTCCACAGTGGGAGCCACAGATGAAATATCGTCTATGCTTAATGCGCTGACGTCTTGCGCAGAGTTCCATGGGACATTCGAATTCTGATCAGACCAGAACGTATGCGACGAGTACAAGTCCGCCATCGAATGGAGGGTTCCTTCAGCCACGCTGTCGTAGATGAGACCAGGAAAACTTCCAACAGCTCCTTGGTTATCCGACTGATAATCTGGGCTCGTTGTGAAGTCTTCCCACGCTTGGATGCAGTCTAGGCTCCAGATATCCGCGTTGCGCTTACCGATGGCCCAGCCAAAACCATCTTCGAGATTTCCACCGTTCATACCATGATCTGAGCCGCCACATGAATCGCGGCTGGTTACATCTTCGTTCTTTGGTTGAACGTCTTCAACAGATGTTTCGTCTACCAGAGACTGTAAATCCTTTCCGTCACTCAGGGCTTGAGTGGTTTGCTGTTCGATAGAGTCGATGACGTATCGTAGGCTTTGTGCCTTGAGTGAAGGTTGGCCCAGCTCACCTTTCAGTAGTAAACGCCATGTCGCTAGACTGACAGCATCGAGAGGAGGGTATTTCTCCGCGAGTTTCACTCTATAAAACTTGCTAAAATCGCTGAAGTGGTCTTTTTCTTCTTTCGGGATAAGACTCATTGCTGAAGGAATATCTTCTACCAGGTACTCTGCCAAGGCTCGCACATCGCCCGCAATGTAGGCGACTGGATCTTTCCCAAAGGACGCATGTGCAAGCCGAGTTGCCATAGCTAGCTCAAACTCATCTATGGTTGGAGGGCACGATATGCGCATAAACCCCCGGCTGATCAACAACTCCATTCCGTAAAAGTTGGTACGCTGAATTATCTCAGCAACGTGGTTGGGGTGAATTCGCCAATCAACGCGTTTTTGTGAATCTGACTGCGCAAAACGGACACAACGAGCCAGTTCCGAATCGATGTGGAATGGAGGTACTGGCAATCCTCTTAGAAGCCGGGGAGCTTCGCCATTGTCAGGAACCACCCAGTTCAACCGCCGGTTTATTATCTCAACATCCAACATCTCTGGCATTGGGGAATACTCATACTCCTTTGCTCGAGGAAATGCAGGCCGAGCGGTGAACTGGGCAAGATAGTGCTCGTAGTTCCTGGGGTATTCAGTATCATAACCTTCGCTATAGGCTACGTCTATCCCGATGGAGTATTGCGAACCCTCAACAATCCATGATGGAACTGTGGGCACGATTGTTGAAGCCGCTCCAGATGCAACAACACCTCCAGCAGCTGGTGACGGCGCTCTGTGATTGTTGAGATCCCTGAATGCCGCCTCATCGTCTGTAAAAGATTCCTCGCATTGCGATGGCTCATCGGCTGTATATTGCAGGCCTGGAGATGAAGATCTTGCGAGTGTGAAGACCTTCCCATCGTCTTCGGATGTCTGAGGCTGCCTGGTAGAGGTCTCGTTGTCGATCTCGGGAAGATAAGACTTGTCGTTGAGTATAGGTTCCGATTCAGCAACTGGCATTTGTTGCGCTTTGGCCAGACTGTATATGTCTTTGCAACCCAGGGGATCTTTCTGATCTGACGCTACTGCATCGGGTAATTCCTTTAGATTCTCCGAAGGTAGCGGTTTTGCGACCTCAGTGAAATACTTAGAAGTAAATTCCTGGACTGGCGAAGATTGACTCTCACCATTCCCTACTAAAGGAAAAGGCTGATCGCCTAGCATCTTTACCCTCTTGGAACTGCCTTCTCGAAGATCATCTTCAGCTTTTCGCTTGCATGAAAATCTGAAGTTCTTGACGTTGGGATGATAGTGTTCTCCCTCCTCTACTCGCATTCTCTTGCACCGTCTTCTCACTATAGCACCGGGCTCCTGACCGATCTCCCATGGCTTTTTTCTCAACCTTGCCTCACATATTTGGGTACCAACGACATCAGTCAGCAGATCTGGAGCTTTGGATATTGGTTTAATCATATCAGACGACAGTGATACGTCTTTCCAGACATCAAAGGCCTTCTTGCGACGCGGATTATGCGCTAGAGTTTGCTTGACGTCACCTGCAGCAGGCTTCCTGAAAAGTTCCTCCTTGGTTTTTACAAAGTTCTTTAGGACACTTTCGTTGTCATCTAGTAGGCTAGCGAAGCCGCCTTCGAGAGATTTGTAGGAAGTGAAAGGCGGAGACGCAGGATTTTGAGGTACGAGAGAGCTTTGTGTGGGTGTGAGGTGTCCATTGAGCTTGAATGATCGCAAAGCATTTGGCGGAGAAGATGCAACGCCGAAGATCACGGGTTGCAAGGTAACAATGTCTACGCGTTGATCTCGTCTGGGTACAATGGTATCAGTGCTAGACCACCCTGTGGTTTGCTTCGGTTGCTGTCGCGTTTCTTCCTGATCTGGCGGGCGACGTATCTCGTTGTTGCTAGCAGAGTCGTATACGCCAGAGGTGCGCTGGCGTTTAGCTTTATGGACTCCGCTCTCCTTTTGTTTGTCGGCGGTATCGTTCAAGTATCGCTTTTCGTCTCGCTTCGGTGCTAGAGAGATCTGTCCGTTTGATGAGTCGGCGTGAGGGCGGAGAGCAGGTCGCTCTGATTGTGGTAGTTCCCGCGAACGGCGCCTCTTGTGAGGACGATTGACTTTGGGTGTGGTCAAGAGGTCTGTATGAATAGTTGGAGCTGACATAGCGTCTATCTCAGAATCGTTGCTAGTGAACATGGTCGCAGCGAAAGGTCGATGGTGTTGCGAGGAATCTCAATCGGAGGAAAGCGTGCACGATGTAGTGTTTTTCGCTAGCCTACTAGCAGTACTATTCACTTCCTGCTCCCCTGTAGGTGAAGTGGATTAAGTAAGGAATAGTCGCGTCTGGAAACGACACACCCAGCTAGTGCCATAAGAAGGATGGCGAAATAACCAGACTCCGCAGTTTATAGTCCAATTCGCTCCAATGGCACTGCCTTTTTGCTTCAGATATGATTCAAATACACTAGATCAGTCGTCATTGGAGAATGAGAAAGGGACTGCTAAAGGTAGCAACCTTTGAGGTTCTTCAATCATGATTCAATTCACTGGAAAGGCAGGGTATCAGGTACCTTTTGGTATCAGTATTGCCGTCGCGGAATTGTCTAAAAGACTTTATGGGACGTTTCCTAGCTTATATGTAACCGTCGAAAAAGATCTCCCTTTTATGTATGTACTTTGCAACTTTCATGTCGTAGGCGGTGATCGCAAGAGCTAGAAGAGCGATAGAGCAAGCTTCCGTCTTACGTTTAGCAATAGGAAGAGTTTACAAATGTCAAATCATAGAAAATACTTGCAAGTGAACGGAATTCATTTGGTGTAACGTAGAACTATTCTTTGTCTATTGTAACATGAGTTTGTTGACGAAAAATAATGCAAGTGATGACAGAGTGCGGTCCAGCCAAACCGATACCATGAATGATACCACCCGCATCTGCATGTTTCCTAAAACCAAGTGGACACCCAATGCGCTATCGAGCTCTAACGAAACGTAGCCTTAGTGGCGTTATACAGGGAACATTCAGCAATGCCATAGGGTGACGTTATATATCCTGCTTGTAGCAGTCCCCAGATTAGTTTCCCCTCAATGTACGATAGCGAGTTATCGACTGGAATGCCACCAGTTGCCACTGCTGTTGTAGTATCGGCGGCTTGCTCGATGAGCTTCGAGCGCTCCAACTGCGACGTAATGCCGTCGCTAGGCTGTCTGCCACATCTGTTCGGTTCTTCGGCTTTCTAAGCAAGCTTCTTGGCCCTTCTCTCTCTCTCATAGCCTGCAAACCGTGCTACATCCTTGGGCCACTGACAGTAGTAGTCCCAATGGTCCTTGGCGTACGTGATCGCGAGCGCAAGGTCGCTGTCAAGGTCCATCGGCATCGGTCGATTAGCGATCAACCCCAGTAGATATTTATTGGGCAACTCGCCCTTCTTCAGTGGCATTAGCTTGTAGACCTCGAGTATGTGGCAGTAGTTTGCGCTCGGGTCCTTTCGCAGCTCTTCCCTTCGTTTGTCGTCCTTCTCTCGTTGAAGGGCGGCGGCTTGAGCGACTTGGTACTCCTCCATAACGCGAGCTTGTTCAGCTACTCTAGCTTGGTGCTCCTGTATGCACTGAAGTTCTGCCTCATGCTTAGCATCAAGCTTAGCCTGCTGCTCGCGGCGCTCCAAATTTGGATCCCTCGTAGTCAGGGCGACGCCATTCGGTGCGCCATTTGGGGTGCCGTGTGCTTGATGGTATACGCCTGACTGATGAGGCGTAGCGGTGTTTTGACGTGCGAAGGTGGTATGGTCGACGGCACCAGATTGTGTCATCAGATTTGGCCGCTTGTCTGCAGGCCTAGCACCCTCAGGCGCGCCTGTTGCCTGGCGTTTCTGACCTGTGACTTGAGCCGATCCAGGGCCTTGCGTTCGCGTAGTAGACGGCGGCAGAACAGGCATATGAGAGTTGGCGCCAGGTGTCGACGGCTTTTGGTATTTAGTGGGCGAGGTAGCAGTCGTTGATGCTTGTGCTGTTGCTCCATTCTGGGGTGAAATGGTCCTAGACGAAGTGGAAGACGGGGAGGATGCCGATAGCGGACCTGATGCACATGGCTTAGATGCGCTCCGAGCTACATTCTGGCGTTGCTGTTGGCCGTTTCCCGTCATAGTGATATTCGCACCGGATAAATTGTTCGAAGGAAATACGTTTGGTACTGAGCGTGTTGAAGCCTGAGCCTGCGAGAAGACTCTAATACGGTTTGGATTTGGAGGAGGCGCCATACCACTGGATCCGGGAAGTCGCGTTTCGTTGAAAGACTGTGCGGGGAACTGCATAGGGTTCGGTCGTTGTTGGGCATTCGGCTGTTGACGCAACTGCCATTGTTGTTGCGAATGCTGCTGCTGCTGTGGAGATGACCGTCCTTCTGGCCGCCCGTCTTGCTGCTGTGAAGGTCGCGGTCCCTGCTGCTGTTGTGAAGGCCGCGGTACCTGCTGCGGATGACTGACTGACTGATTGTGGCTCAACGCCCTGTCCGTAACTTCTCGGGGGGTATTTGGGCGGGCAGATGCCTGCTGCTGATGCCCTTGTGGCTGTCCGTACTGCTGTTGAGAAGTACGCTGAGCTAGACGATCACGGTATTCCTGCTGTTCATGTGGCGTCATTCGCGTCCATCTCCACTGCTGTTGCAACTGCTCTTCGGTGAACCTGTTCATCTTTTTTGCAGTAGTGGTTGTCGTTGTAATAGTTGTTGTGTTTGGTGTATTAGGGAAGTTATGGTTGAGGGCTGAAGGGAAAGTTATGAGATTGTTCAACTGGTAGTGAAAGACTACCGGTAGGGCAGAGTAGAAACGAAACTGTATATCTATCGTCTGCGGTTGGTAACAATAGGCGTTGGTGAGAGGCGCCTTCACCTGGATCCGGTTTGCTACTGTGAGAACCACGGTTCTTCGGCCCTCACAATGTTGGATCACTCTTTTTGTAGTACCAAAGTCAGCGTCGCCAGAAAGGTCGAATACGCTCTATGTTAAATAATATTGGAGACAGTCCAATAACAAAAGACTCAACTGTTGTCTGTATTTTAGGGTTCGCAAATGGCAAAGATGCCGCGTTTACCTCCACTTCAATCCCGGCCACTTCTTGTAATAGCGCGCTATGTTTGAGATATTTGCAGCGGTCGTGTGATGCGAGAGGCGTGACGCCAGCCTGGGTGCAATGCTTTCTGATGTGCCCGCATGTCCTGAGATTACTATCTTGGGAAGAACTACCAGAGTTGTGGACAGCCTTCTGGTTTTTTGCATGTATATAATCTTTTCAGAAATCGGTATGAATATGAATCAGGGCGAGATCAATGTCTCCAATGCAGTGCGACAAATTGAGATAGGCGGCTGGAGGGGGCTTTGCATTGTTGATTAACCCCTGTCGACTTGTGGTTTGCGGTTTGCGAAAAAGCTCGCTTCATCAAGATGGGGAAAGCCATGGAGGAAGCAATTGAAAAGACAATCAACAGAAGCAATCCACTATCTCACAACTTGACATCCTTCTTCTGGTCTCTAACCTCTTGCGCCATTCTGACCATCGCATACAGACTTTGTAGGCGCGGCATCTCGAATCCTCTGTCCCTGGCGATCCTCAATGGATTACCTAGAATAACCTCAATTTCCATCTTCTTACCCGCTTCCCAGTCAATCGCCATGCTTGGCTTGCTACCACTAGTGTTCTTCTGGGTAGACCGAATGATCTGGTCTGGGGTAGCAAACTCTTTAGGCATGGGTTCGCCGAGAATCTTGGGAGCGGTCTCAAGAATCTCCAACATGACGCCCTTGAGATGGCGCTGCAGTTCCGGGTCGAGAGACATGACGTTGTTCGGGAGGCACTGGGTGAGGACGGAGGTTGGGTTCATCGAGGCATTGATGGCGATCTTATGCCAGCGAACTAGTTGTAGTTTAGCATGGGAGTAGGCTTCGGCATCCTTGATACCGCCTTCCTTCAGCAGAGCAATGAACGCGTCGTTTTGCTCCGTGACGCGTGCGTCGGTATCCTTCTTGTTTCCGGTATCTAGATGAGGCAGGTACGGTCCGCTATTTATCCGCGTCCATCTGTTGTGCTTGATCTGGCCATGCTCGGGCTGTGCGCATGTGGCTATCGTGACGGCCGAGCAGATTGCCGCCTGTGGAAACCGCTTCGCGTATGGCTCCTCTACACCCAAACCGTTCTGTATCAGCACAATGGCTGTCTTATCGCTGACCAGCCCCTCAAGTATCGTCGAATCATCGCTGACGTCCGGCAAGGCCTTTGTGCTGACTACTATGTAGTCCCATTGTATGTCGCTCTTTCGCGCTTCTTCTGGGTTCGCAAACGTGTTCGCCGGCACGAAGGTGTAATCGCCGTATTGCGGTGAGGTAACTTGGAAGCCATTCGCCTTCACAGCTTTGTAGTTGGAGCGGCAGACGACAGAGACAGAGATACCAGAGATGACTGCGAGTCGAGATGCATAGAACGCTCCAATGGCGCCAGCGCCGACAATGAGAATGTTTGTAGACATTGTTAGGTTTGGAGGTTGAAACAGAGGCAACCATGGCAGCACTGTAGCTTCAGAGCCCGCCTTATCGATAGGCCTTCCGCGTCCGGGTACGTGCCGAGGTAACAACTACCCCAAGGCTTCCTCAACCTCACAGTCGGTAACACAGGCCGGAATGGTCAAAGGAAGAGACTCACGAGTAGCTTTGAGAAGCAGTGATTGCGGATACATTCGACTTTATGCTCCCAGGCAATAATGGCAAAGCATAGTAAAGGTGCAACACGCTCTAATTCTCGAACGTATATGAAGCTGCCGAGTTGATCCTGGAGCAACCGAGAAGATGAACATGAACACGAATTGTGCCGACCTGCTAGAGAGACAGGACTGCAACTATACTGAAGTCAAAGTAGAAATGTTGTCTGGGTTTGGGAGAGCGTGATGGAAAGGAAGCCACGCCATATCCGGACTAGTGCGCTAATCACGACGCGAACGCTGGACATCAAACTTCCTCACATCGTCAGTCTCTTCCAGCGACAGCTACCGTCGTTACATCTCACGCCTTCGCGATCATTTCGCACTCTTCCCCTTTGGCTTGCAAATTGTCGCGACTTGAGATCGCATGTCATTGCATAGAACAGCTCGATGCAGCGAAATGGACGCGGTTCTTTCATGCGAGACTTTCACGATCGTGAGTGCTGAAATTGTGTGATTTTCTACGTGTGTGACCGAAACGTAGCGGGACATGTATGCAATGCTTCTACGAAGTTCGCTGAGAACATACATGTCTCCAATGTAAATGTGTTGCTGGTCTTGTGCTTAACGCCAGTCCCGCGAACTTTGAAGCAATATCTTTGTGAAGCTCTAGCGACTGTCCCGGTATTTGATTCTCTTCCTCTGATTTCATCGTTTGTTGATCAGGTGGGAGAATACTCGACTGCTCGTTTGCTTGGGCCAAGGGTGGATGCGCCCACGTTTGGGCCGTCAGAAGCGGCAAGACTGTTCATCATGAGTGAAGATATGCATCGATACTTGAGAATAACAGGAGGGAAGTTTTGCAGCAATCATGTGACAATTCAATGTACCGTGCAAGATTCCTGTCACTCTGGTAATATTTTCTTCCTGTAAACGATGCTACCTATCGTCCCTCAGTAAGATCAATAATATCATCTCACCGCTCAATGGACCGATCGCGGCCACTGTGAGGCGTTTGGGCGCTGACCGCTGCTTCCTCGTTGCTGGAGCCTTTGCGAGCACCTACTATATAAACACAGGTGTCGGGTCTCATATTCCGCCTCCCTATCTTCCAGCTTTCGCAACTCAATCACCATCCATCCTTCGTTTTTCTATATCATCGCTCATCAGTCGACTGGCTACGTCGAGGTTGCTGTCTTTTTCACTATCACCACGCATGAGTAATCCGCCTTTGTCGGTGTAATTAGCACAAGCTACTCTGATGCTTGCAAGAATGGATGCACACAGCCCATGTCGTCTTGAGCCTCACGGTGAGTCCGCTGTCCTCACGGTGAGGTGAGAAAGCTATGTTGGGGGACTGATTTGATCATCAGTGCACCAAGTTTCACATTCACCAGGCCACTGTCTTCGATGCCGCGTCGTCATGGCACATAGCGGATGTCCGAGCGTTTATCCACAACAGGTCTCGTCAACAATTGGTATTCGTCCGGACGCCTTTGCACACCATACTGTCCAATATCATGGCTTCAATTATCAAGAGAGAAGAGAGCCAGGAAACCTTCCTCAGGACAATCCTGCGGACTTCCACGCTACCACCAGCAGAGCCTGCCGACGATGCTTCTACATTGTCTGCTGCATCAACATACAAAGAGGAGGATGTCGAACCGGCTGTATGGTTGCCCAACACCATTCTTGCGCTACAGCATGGGGCCAGCAGAGCGAGCAGTGTCAGCATGAACAGTGTCTACCAAGGCAGTTCACCTCGAAAGTATAGGATGCACGGTCATTCCTCCAGGTGAGTCTTCAATTTCACTCTGATGTCCTCATCCCTTTCGTCTTGTTTGGAGTTCTTCCCTAGCAACCGCACGTGGCGCAAAATTTGATGTCGCTACAAACCATCACAACATTGTCCACACACCCACTCAGCCTTCACAACCCTCCAAACCAACAGAACCTCTTTGAATTGCCGCGTGAAGACGACGATATGGGTGACAAAGCTAATTCACACTACTACAGGGACTTATTCTTTCCTGCCTACGCTGCTATGAACGCAGCACGTCAAGGTGAGTACTCTTTGCCCACCCAGCCATCAATATGGAGCGAAAGCACCAAGTGGCATAGCAATGTACTGGCATCTACATGCATACAGTTGCTACCAGATGTATCCAAACTTCAGTGGCTGACGCATACACAGACCAGAATACCGATCAGATGGTGTCTCAGGACACCTTCGGTAGCCAGCAGGAGCTGCAATTCCAGTTTCCGTCATTCGTGATGGAGGATGCGCAGCAGGTAGACCAGGTCGCGGAACAGCCGCCCAAGCTGCAATTGCAGCTAGACGGCTCCTGGAGGCAGCGTTCCAGTGAGTCTCACTACTTCGTATTCCCATGAGAACCTCCTGGCTGACTGATTATGTCAGACTCTGAAGGGATAAACGACCTAGTGGCCTTCAGTCGCGGCAACGCCGAAGCCATCGACACACTGATCGCCCGCTTGGACAAGGCCGAAATGGACAACATGGCTCTCCGCGAGACCGTTGCTCAGCTCGTGAACGATGCCACTTCCGGGTCCAGGTCAGCTCCTGGTCCTGCTACTCGCTACCGGGATGCCACCGCACCTCGCCTCTCTACACCAAGCACTCCAACCAAAGAGCGCTATGAGCCCTTTCAAACATTTCAACTATCTAGCCCTACTCCTCAAGACGATGAATCCTTCACTAGCAAGCTGACTCCGAACAAGAAGAGCAAGAAGGGCGAGAAGACTAGGGCTCGAAAGGCCCTAAAGGTCAAGATTCCCGACGGCAAGAAGAATGCGGTACCTTCCGTTATGACTACTCCCTCGAAGAAGATCGATGTAAGTTCCACATGTCCAGTCTTTTACTATGAGATGCTAACGAAAAGCAACAGTCTGGCTACCTCACCGGAAACATGGCCTCCAGTTTCCCCAACTTGATGACGCCTACTTCAGGTCAGCTCACGGGCACTATGGGATCAATGTACCTGACCACGCCGGCGTCGACTTATCCAAGGTCCCCAGTTACTCCTGGTCGCATCGGTCCCCCAAGCACCCAGAAGCGCGGCGTGACGTCCGTCGACAAGCGTAAGAATCATTCACTCAAGGAGTCGATGCCACCTTCGCGCGCCATGGTACCTAACGTGCCTCTCACCGATACGGAAGTTATTGTCTACTTCTTCCAGTCTCTCGCACGCCCTCCCGTTGCACTTCGTCTCTACTCACGCCATTGGGGCCCCGCTGGCATCGTCGAGATTCTTAACACACACCGTGATATCGAGGGCGGATACCTTCGCAACACCTGCTCCGTCAAGTGCATCACCGCTATCAACCGAGGCAAAGACAAGTACGGCGATGATTGGGAAGAGTCATTCCGTAGCCGAATTGAGGAGGCTGACGACATCACTGCTACCGACATGATGCAACATAAAAACGATGAGTTGGAAGGTGTTGTTGACTACGACATTCGCGATATGGGCAAGGGATTGCTCAAGCATCCCAAGGAGGGCGAGGATGGTGGTATCTTCACACGTTGTGTCAAGTATTGCATTGAACATGACGCAGGCTATACCTTGGCTAATGTTCACCTGCTTGCTCTGGCTCTACAGGGCGGTATTGACCCTCAAAAGTTGGTCATTGACGGTGGCGAGGAGTTCGTCGTTGAGGACGAGGAGGGTATTGAGGAGGATGTCTGAGGTGTTTGGTTCATACACAGGCTGTTCAAGTTGCATGTTTGCAGTTGTACAGGATAAACATGGCGGATACTAAGGCGGATAATGATTGAGTCAACGAACGTCACGATAACCAGTTGTATACTCCAGCAAGACTTGGAGGGTAATACAGATAAACGATAATCAGCTAAAATGGATGCACGTCCTCAAACATGTGCTTGTTTCCATGTCACTGCCACATCCTTAGATTGTGTCCATTCATCAATAATGCGCTATGAACCCTCAGGCCATGCTATGATTCTACTGCCAAACTCTATCATCCCAAGTTCATATTCCTTCCACCCATCCACCTATCTTTGTCCACCCCGTCTCAACCCATGAGCATCCTCAACATATCCCCTTTACCCTCGGAGCCCCCATCAGCCACACCCTTCCCAGCATCCTTGTCGGCACCCTTGTTCGGTCCCACCGGACTTGTCGCAGCGAAGAACAGGACCTTAATGGCGATGGCGAAACCAGCATGTAGCACGAAAACGACAATGAGCAGGATCTTGCTTGTCTTGGCTTCAGTAGTGCTGAGCACAGGGTAAAGGTTTCGTAGGAGGAAGAAGGCAGAGGCCGCGAGACCAAGGGCTACAACCGTGAAATTGAGAACTGTAGTGTGTCGGTCAGTATGCAGTACCCACGCCAAGGTTGAGAAAAAGAACTTACTACCCCAGGGACTCCATGCCACCAGACTGACGGCAATCCAAACCAAGTTCGCATATCCATACAAACAACAGCACTCGAGCAGATTCGCACTCTCACTCCCATACCACTTCAGAACACCCCAAAGCCCCACGGGCACAAAGGCCGTGTACCCATAGACCAGTCCCGCTGCCCCACTCAACAGCTTGAAGTCATACGCAAAGTGCTCCTCGCCCTTCATGGCCAAATATTGGCTAATCGTCCCCGTCAAGAACAAGATGACAACGACGGTTGTAGCGATCCATACAGGGCCGTAGAGATCTGGATTCCCTTCTAGCACATCGAGGAAGTTGGCGCGTGGGTAGATGGTTGAGGTGCAGCGGCGGAGGACTTCGGCGGTGTCGACGTCGAAGGCTTGGGCGTAAAAGTTGAGCGACCAGAGATAGTGCTTTCGCGATGTGGGGTTGTTGGAGGAGGAGCCGCCGGGGCCGGGGAGGAAGGAGGCGGATGACGAGTCGGGTTGGATCTTGGGGGCGCCACGGCCAGAGGGTTGGGTTTCGAAGTCTGGATCGCGATTCGTTAGTCGCTGGGTTGGGATGATGTTGAAGAAGAAGAAGATCTATCGAGAGCTTACTGGAGCTGTGGAATTCAAGGTCCTCTTGGAGGTCGGTATGGCCGAGGTCGCCCTGTGAGCTGGTAAGCTTGCCATGTCGAGTTGAGAGGGATTGCGACGTCTGGGGTTTACGTCGGCTTTTCGACAATTGCATACCTCTTGATCGACATCTACGACGACATCGTAGCCTCTGTTCGCCATGGTTGCTCGTGAGGTGAAGGCTCTCGATATGTCGCGAACTTGCGTCGAGCTGGCCAGATTGCGGTTGACGTACGTCGCGCGACGCGACCGTGCGCTGCCGTAGGTTCATTCGGAGCGGCGTTTCAGGGTCCAGCACCGAGTCCCTCAAGACACCACCACAGCCTTACACGACAGCAAACACATGCACAGTTTACCCTGTTCATTGCAATCGGGTTCTCATTATTGTCGTAAATACAAGGCGTCAGGTCTACGGATCTAGGCTTGTAACCATCTAAGATCTACCGCGAAACCAACGCATCCACCATTTCTCCACCATCCCTCTACGGCGCAGGCTCAGCCTTGACCTGTAGAGGTTCGACGTTCCAGATAGCCTCCGCATACTCGTCAATACACCTGTCACTGGAGAAGAAGCCCATACGTGCGACTGTAGTGATGGTCTTGGTGGTCCACTCCTCAGTGTTCTTGTAGCTCTCATCAATGAGCTCCTGTGTCTTGATGTACGACGCAAAGTCGTCAGAGACAAGGTAGTAGTCGCCGTGATCCACGATGCCGTTGATCAGAGCAGAGAACTGGTCTGCATCTCCAAAGGTGCCGTTGTGGATTGCGTCGAAGACGTTTGCAAGCTGTGGGTCCAACTGGTAGTGCGAGTACATGTGTGCGTGACGGAGGTCCTCGACATCTTCGGCGAGGTTACCAAAGAGGAAGATGTTTTGGTCGCCAATCTCGCGGGTAATTTCGATATTGGCACCATCGCATGTTCCAATGATGAGACCACCGTTCAAGCAGAACTTCATGTTACTAGTACCAGACGCCTCAGTACCAGCCGTGGAGATGTGCTCACTAATATCACTGGCAGGGCAGATGATCTCGGCCTTGCTGACATTGTAGTCGGCCAAGTAAACGACCTTGAGGGCGTCGCCCACGTCCTTGTCGTTGTTGACGACATCACCCACCTTGTTAATGAGATGGATAACTGTCTTGGCCATCCAGTAACCTGGTGCAGCTTTACCACCGAAGATGGAAACGCGAGGGGCTAGCTTCTTGCGGTCCTCTGGAGACATAGCCTTGATCTGGAGGTAACGGTGGATGACACCAAAGATGTTCAGCTGCTGGCGTTTGTACTCGTGGATACGCTTGACTTGAACATCGAAAAGCGCCGCAGGGTTGACCTTGACGCCATTGTGCTCCATGATGTGTTGCGCGAGTCGCACCTTGTTGGCGTACTTGATGTCCCTGAACTCCTTACGGAACTCCTTGTCGTCAACAAACGCCTCAAGCTTGTGCAGCAAGGTAAGGTCCTTCAGGAATTCGTGACCGCCCAACTTGGATGCAATAAGAGCTGAGAGCTTCGGGTTGGCCTGGTGGAGCCATCTTCTCGGGGTAATTCCGTTGGTAACATTTGTGAACTTGTCTGGTCCGTAGATCTTGACAAAGTCTTTGAAAATTGTAGTCTTAATCAGGTCGGAATGCAGCTCAGCTACACCATTGACCTTGTGTGAGCCAATCAACGCAAGGTATGCCATGCGGACCATCTTAGGCTGCGATTCCTCGATGATCGAAACGCGACCGAGCATGTCGCGGTCCTTGGGAAAGTTGCGCTCGACGAACTGAAGGAAATGCAGATTGATCTCATAGATGATCTGGAGGTGGCGTGGGAGGAGATGCTGCATGAGCGGGACGGACCACTTCTCGAGCGCTTCAGGTAGCACAGTATGGTTGGTGTATCCGAATGTCTTCTGAACGATGTTCCATGCCTCATCCCACTCCAGGCCCTCGAGATCGACTAGGATTCTCTGAAGCTCAGGGATAGCGAGCGTTGGGTGGGTATCATTAAGCTGAATCGCGACTTGGTTGGGGAACTCCTTCCAGGCGCGCTGACTCTTCTTGAATCGCCGCACGATGTCGTAGAGCGAAGCCGCGCACCAAAAGTACTGTTGCTTCAGGCGGAGCTCCTTACCACGGTCAAGGTTGTCGTTGGGGTAGAGGACAGCAGAAATAGTCTCAGCTCGCTGCTGATCAGCTACTGAGCTCTCGTATTCACCAGAGTTGAACTTCTGGAAGTCGAATTCGCCGCTGGCAGCCTTGCTTCCCCAGAGACGCAGGTTGTTGCAAGTGCCAGTCTTGTAGCCGGGAACTGCACCAATCAGTAAAAAGACGGCGGTTGATATGGGAACTGCTTACCTGGGACGTCATAAGCAACAGCTTTGACAATCTCGCCGCCTTCCCATGAGGATTGCTGCTTGCCCTCATCGTCCTGCCAGCGGTTGACGTGTCCATAGAACTGTATATCAACCTCGATGTCGTGGCGCTGGAACTCCCATGGGTTGAAGTCAAGCCAGTAGTCTGGAACCTCGACCTGGTATCCGTCGTGGATCTCCTGCTTAAAGATACCATATCGGTACCGTAGGCCGTAACCCCAGGCTGGGTAGTTGAGAGATGCCATCGAGTCGAGGAAACAGGCTGCAAGGCGTCCGAGACCACCGTTTCCTAGGGCTGCATCGTGCTCTTGGGAGATGATGTCCTCCATGCGGAAGCCAAGGTCACTAAGACCCTCTGAATCAATGTTAGAGGAAGCAATTGATGAGTTCAAGAGGAGGACCTACTAGTAGCAATATCCTTCTGCTCGACATTGAGCATGGCATTGTCCAGGGCGCGGCCCATCAAGAACTCGAGGGACAGATCTAGCCTTGTTAAACAACATTCTATCATGATGCTTCTCGCTCTTGCTCACAGTATACGCGCTTCTGATCAGCAAAGGTCTGACTCTGTTGTGTCTTGTTCCAGTCCAGGACCAAGCGATCCCTGAAGGCAAGGGCGGTTCCAGAATACGCGGCGGCCTCATCGCAGTTGAAGAGGGAGCGCGCCAGGGTAGTCTCGATGTGGCGAACGGCGTCTTTGGTAAAGTCGTCGGAAGTAGAGAAAGGCTTGGGCATCTATATATAAGTTAGTGTTGAGTCCTTTGATGTTTACACTGCTATCAAAAGCCATGCACGTACAAACTTCCTCCATGCCTCGCGTTGAGGCTCTGGAATACTCGCTTCCACGTTTTTGATCTCGCTGGGGCCAAAGCCAGTTACAGTCCTCTTGTGCTTGGGTCTGCTGAAAGAGGGGCCAACGGGACCCTTGAGGTCGGCAAGTGGAGCGCTCGTCGAGGGCTTGCGCTCACGGGGAGAAGGGTTCGCGGCCATGTTGGTAATATCGATTGCAGAGAAACCCGGATTGCTAAGAGAGTGAGTTGGTGGGAGAGAGATGATGGCGGGGTAGAGGGGCGTACAGTTGCCGCTTCGAGGGCTGCAGGCTTATAAAGAGGCCGCAGAAGTACCTCAGGTGTGGTGTTTGCGAAGCGCCAGACAGGAAAGATGAGCGGCAGCGACGGCAACGGCGTATTTACAGGACACCGGATTGAGGAAGACAAGGTGGAGATGAATTGAGCATCAAGGCAAGGCCCCCAGGAATATATCAGGAGAGCAGGAGCACCCTAGCGGATCGCGGGGAAGTAACACACCATGGAGCCAGTCTGACAGCTAACAACAAGCTGTTGAGCTCTCCCACATGCAAGCTGTATGCAGCAGCTCGCATACCAGTACAAAGTGGGGTAGCCGACCCCACGAAACCGTCGCGGAGCCGTTAGCGAAGACGTGACGGACGTGTTGTCCAATAAACTTGTGCATGCTGAGGCTTTAGTGCGACTGTTGCGCGTCGTAGCGTGATCTTCACTATGGCCAGAACCAGCCGGGGTGACGTCTTCAACCCCTCCACACCATGCTGGCAAAGTGCGGAGTAATCTAAATAAGAGGGAGGAACGCGACGGAACGCAACGAGTACCAGGCCTGACTTTTTTGAAATCGATTAGACGAAAATCCAATTGCGCGCATTCAGCCTGCGCGGATCTTGTCGGAACAAGGAAGACTATGCGATGATTAGTTGAGGCTGCAGCCCCACCATCGCATGTTCATCCGATCCTGTGTAGACAAAAAGAGTACCCAACGACCACTATCGTGACATCTCATGTCTTCCGCGCGTTTGGTCACATATGCACGAGTCGTTCGCGACAACTTGGCACCACACACACACACACACATATATCATGGTGCTCGGAAGAATATTCGGAATGATAAAGTGCCAGCATTTATTAGAGCCATCTCTACATAGTGTTGGTATCCTCAAACATGAAGCCAATCCTCAAAACTCCACAGTGGGTATTACGCAGATAGCGTACTCAAAACCAGAAGCATAGGCCATTATGTCAGGCCACCGAATCCACTCAACTCCACCCTGAAACAAATATATACGAGTTTACAACAAGCCTGTTGTAGGCACAAGACAACACTGAGTATATGACCCGATTGATGTCGGAGAACGCCGAGATATGCGCATAACGGCTGAGGGCTAAAAATGCCGAAAAGATGTGGGTATCGTGAATGTACGCAGCAAGACAGTTAAAAATGGTAGACTGAACGAGATTCGTAGCGCGTACGTAGGAAGCTGCCGTCTCATGGGCTGGGCTCCGGAGTCTGCACGCCATAGCTCCAGATTGCAGTACCTTGGAGGCTGATGGAGAGGTTTCGTCGTTGTTTCGTTGCGGTCGTGGTTGAGGTCGGTGTGGAGGGACATGTGCTTGTTCGCTGCATGTTCTTCAGGCTCCGCTCCACCATGTCGTTGGAGATTCGAGCAAGACCATAGTCCATGTCGTGCAACATAGCTCGCTTGGTGGTCTCGATCTCTTGCACGGTGAAAGCACCATCGCTCTCCCTAATGCTCCAGTGCCGCGAGGAACGTTGACGGTCGACAAGGAAGCCATGCGCGAGCGAAAGTGCGGCCAGTGCAACAACGTCTGGGCTGACATGTGCGTTCTGACGCAAGTCTGTCCTCAGAAAGTTCTTGACGTCGCGAGCATAGTCGCTTGGCGTAAGAGCATCCCGCCAAGTAGTTGCAAACCGGCTGCTCAACGCATCCAGCAAGCACCCCGCAAAGGCGACAATCTCATCTGGCAGCCCAGC